GTCTAGGACATCATCTTCACCTCAGTCGCCAAGGCGCCAGTTGATGGTGGGGACCGGACGTACCTGGAATGGAGAGACCGATATTTTCTTCGTGGGCCCCGGACTGAAGGTGAGCGCTGGCGGTTACATCGAGCAACTCGAGAAGAATATCCTCCCCACATGTCGTCGCCCGTACCTTCTTGGAAACTTTGTACTGCTACAGGCATTGGGTGACACCACATGGAATCAAAGGGCGTTGGGAAAACTCTTGCCTACTTGGAATGGAAGGGCGTTGAGTACCTGAGGAAGGTGGAATATTCAAGCAGGTCATCTGACCCAAACCCCCTCAATTACCTGGTTCGGGCGGAGTTCAATAGGGTGGTCTACGGTGGCGGAGAAATCGACTATCTCGCTGATCTCAGGCACCCACTCACGGTCGCGTGGCAGAATCTCTCGATGGCGCTCCTCCAGAAGGCTGTGGCGGAGTATCATGATAGTATTTGATATGCTCTTTAATATGGTGGTGAAAATGTCCGATAAGAATTTAATAAAGTGTAACTTATAGCGCCTCGAAAGTCAAGGAAGAAAAAAGTCTTTTTTTGGCCCTCAGTGTTTTATCCTCCCAGACGAATCTGGTACCAATTTACCGTCCCCGGAGGGTAGAAGGCTTGGTTGGCCTGGGCGGGAGTCGACCCGGGATTCGAACCCGGCGCCGCGCGAGTGGTAAGCGCGCCACTTGTCACTACACCACCTCCGCCTCCAAGACAAGACATAATACTGACAGCGAGTTTTCCTGCTCAAAACTTTACTTGGGGTCACGACGAAGGTAGGCTATATGTATATGTGCTTTGCCCAGCTTAAAAAACAATGCCCTTTTCGTCACTCTCTTCGTCGTTTTCATCACCTCAATTTTCCTTATCAAAACAATTTGTTTCTTGTCATGATGACTTTTGTCTCTCACATCTGATGACTCTGATAAGTTGTCTCTTCATCTATACACTCGACTACTATTTGAAATAAATGCAAATGAGTCACTAACACACCCCCATTACATATGCTCCTGGGGTCTAAATCTCCACTATTATATCAAGTTGAGGTCTCCTACGTGCTTTTGTCGTAGAACTTCTCATGGGATTTATGCTTCAGAGCTGAAGATCTCGATTCTGAAGAGGAGCCATTGTGGGATGAAACCCACTGTGACTGTGACTCCACCAGATCCACAAAAAGACCTTGTCTTCAATTTAAAAGCGAGTATCGTCCTACTATATGTAAACAACTATGAATATCAGTGCAATTATGTAGAGTAGATATCGTCCCAGTCCGGGGATATGATACGTCAGGAAGCGCAATGTGAGTCCACCTACGGTTGCGCTTCCTACTAGTAATGGCCGGTTCATTTGAACAACCAACCGTAGAGAATCCCGCAGGTAGGCTCATTTTAGGCCCTCTGTCACCGTAATGCCGCACTGGGACGGTATTCTCAAAACGCGCATGTGCCTCCTCGAGGAAAGCAGAGCTAGTGACGATATAGTTGGGAAAGGGGCATGGGTAGGGATTATAAAAAATTGAAAATGACAGAAGGTAGCTGAAAAGGGGCGTTAGGGAGGAAGTATTTTTAACAACCTTCTGATGCTTTGGTGCGCATTTCGTATCGGGAAAAAACAAAAGTAGTAGAATGCCTGCATGGAGGGCAGGTGGGAGATAGTAGGATCAATTGATGCAAATGATAAACTTAACCACTTCCTATCTCGTAAATTTGCTTGCTTTCAGATAACCGCTACCCTGCTGATCTTCATTGATGTCGTCATAATATTCATTATAAGCTCACATGGAGGTGCAGTTTCATTGACGAAGTTGCTCATCATACTACAAACCGATTTTTTATTTCAGAACTAATTTCATATTTTTCAACACATATCTAATGTTGGAATCGTGGGGGTGTCCGTGCAGCTGATGCTGGTTGGACCTTGGGGTGCAATTCCGAGCAATTCCCTGAGCAGACCCACGTATTCCGCGGTTTCGTGAACAGCCAGTGGGTGCTATATAACTGTCACTGGGTAGTTTCAATTACATAACAGATCACTCTTCGTAATTAACCTTTTATCAAACAAATATGTACAAATTCCTGGATGGCGAAGCCAACCAGAGCATAAAATGAGCCAGAATCTACGCCACTAGATTCAGACACTCAACCAAGCAAAGGAAAGGGATTTTGACCCACAAATATCCTGTCATCTAGGATGCTGGACAACTCTTTACACCAAAGACAATCCTGCAACCATCGTCCCCTGTTATCAAACCATGTAAGGACGACCATTGCGCTGAATCACGCTTAGGCCAACGTGAATCTGTAGCCGTATCTCAGCCGTGACTGGACGATGCCTCAGTCCCACTAATCATTCATTCACATTTTACCGCTAATAAACCTTGGTAACAAAATGAGGTAGAACTAGCTTGCTGAGGCTAAGCTGTCGTGCTTTCCCCTTCCGAGAAGTCAAAATGTGACATCCTGTGTGACTGCGAGCTCCGCCCCGCTCACTTCGGGTATGCCCCCACGCCCATTGTGGGGGTAGTCTAACGTGGTGCATAGAGAATGATCGTGTCCCCGGTCCCTGATCTTCCGGAGGAATTTTACGAATTTTTGTCGTTGGCACTTCGGTCCATTGTGTGCGAGCTTAACTAGGGAAGGTCGTCAGGTCGAAGTGGCCATTTGTAATGAGATGTAGCTCACTAGACGTGGTTTTGGACGCTGATCTCGAATCTGCCTTTGAAATTTGCAGAACGATTCTCTGAACGGAGTTATGGAGCTTTTTCCACCGCGTTTACCACGCAACAGGTCGTGGGATCGGATCCCTGCTGAGCTTAACTTTTTTGCTTCTTGTGCAAACGTGGCAAAAAGTGGTTGTAGCGTCACTACTACATTAGCGCTCTCCTTGACTTGCCTGAAAAACAGTTTGTGTTCGCTTACTGGCGCGCTTAGTGCCTTATGATCTAGGGAGATGTACAGGTGCCCTTGGCGCGGAGTGCAGGCGTTTTCGCGCTGAGCGAGTGCCATATTCGTGTTTATCGGGGCGAACTACGCCTAGGTAGAGGTTTCTAGCCAAATCTGGCATTTTGACCTGACTTCGAAAAGTGAAGCATCCATGGGTTAGTTCAGTTGATGTTCACACCTATTCAGCTGCAGATACATTCTCCTGCACAAAGCCTCGTCTGCCTCTTCTTACGCATTCATTTTGTTACTGCTCCAGTTTTCCTGGTATCTAAAAGCAAATTCCGTCCAAAGACAAGCAATCGACAAGAGACTGGCCCTGGAACTATTGGTGACCATCATTCGATCAACTGCTACCGCACTTTTCAAAGTTAGGTCAAAACCTCACATCTGGCTAGAAACCTGTCCCCAAGGGTAGTTTTGCTCCCTGAACACGAATATGGCACCCATTTGGCGTTTGAGTGTTTTCTAGACTTAAAAGAGACATTCCCCACAAAATGCAAAACAAGTTCCCTTCCAGAAATCCGAACCCTTCATAGCATGCCCGTGAAGCAAGACCATTACCACTACACCATGCCACCGTTGAAGGTAATGGTGCTTCCCGGCTATTCATGCAAATGGCTGGCAACCGCGCTTGACTCCGTTAACTTCATTTAAATTCTAACAAACCTTCATAATTCCGTTCAGAGAATCGTTCTGCAAATTTCGAAGGCAGATTCGAGATCAGCGTCCAAAACCACGTCTAGTGAGCTACATCTCATTACAAATGGCCACTTCGACCTGACGACCTTCCCTAGTGTGTTTGCCGAGTTTGTGTGTATTCCGTATATTTTCAACATGCCCTCAGCCCCCATCCCAAAGTTGACGGCGTTTAAGAGTTTTGTTGACAACGTTTTCAAAGATTACGTCCGTGACACCGCTCAGCTAAATATAGGCCCCGCCCATTGTGGGCGGAGCCTATTCTCCTATTGGTGCCACAGACACACAGACAACTTCTGCTTTATATATAGAGTATGATAGTAGTAAATTATTCAAAGACCACTGCATATGGTGGGCATGGCGTTCAATAAGGAATTTATAATCCTAAAGTAATCGCCAAAAAAGAAAAAAAAAGCAGAGAAAAATCATGAAGAGCACCGTGAGAACCTCACGGTGTTCTTCATGATCGTTGCCAGTTGTCCGGACGTGCTCACTCTGCCAGCAAAGCGACATCCTGCCGCCCCTTGCTCACTAGTCGTTCCTCCGGTATGCTGGTGCCCTCTAGCAATCAAGGAAAAAAGAAAACATGGCGTGAAGACGGAAGCGGTAATAGAAAACATCCTTTGAAATCTGGTGGAAGAATAGCTACGCGAGTGTCAGAATTGCCGCTGCCTATGAAGGTAGCAGCCCCTACTTTTGGTGAAGCCTCAGAGACTGAGGAATCACTCGCATGATAAGTTCTTTTAATTTTCTATATGAGAGCTGAAAGATTTTGAAAAACTGTAGAAAAGCAGGAACTCGCTTCGTTTTCTTCGAAAAGCACAATTTTTATTATGTACAGGAATAGCTAGGATGCCTCTATGGATTGCATGTTCTGTAGTGTGGCGTATTTTACTTGTACTTATGACTGTTGGAATATGGAATACTTGCACAAGGGAGGACGCTCTAGAATTGCTTGGGAGCGGGGACTGTATTTGACATATGTGTTTTCAAGTTAGCCGTCGAAAGGGTGATAGTAAAAATCTTTCATCTAGAACAAAGCAGACTAGGTCTTAAGGAAATGATCGATCGCCTCGCATGTCGTAACACATCTTTCCCAGAATAATTGGCGCAGTTCGGCTTGATAGGAGCATTCAAGTAGTTCTCATCGATCACTGCCAGTGCTCCTAGTGGAGACCTATGAATTAAGTGTAGACCTGTAAAGCTACGCAACGGCATGAGATTCGTGTACTTTTGAGATTGGACAACAGCCAAGAAGAATCCTTAAGGTGCGACGTGTAATTTGACAGCAGCCAGCAATAGAACTTGTGGAAATCAGAATGCTTCCCACCCTATGCTGAACGGCGCTGAAGATTTTTATTGTGCCGAGAACATCAATCACTTCGATGCGAAATCTATCCTGCCAGGAGGTCTTTTCCATCTTCCAGCACTGTCTGATACCACCACTGCTGTACGATGCAAAGGTACTTAGTGCAGTTCAGCAGCAGTAAGTGAGCATTAGTTCTCCCTTCAATTCGCGGCACATTTGACTACGGTATCTCCAGCGCCCGTATAGCACGACTTATTGCCCATGGTCCCTACAGAGCTTACGAAGTGGACGCAAAAGAGTGGTATGAGCGGAAGCTATGACACACTACTGCAACTTAATAGTCCATTCTTCATCGCTCTAATATTTAGCACCGAGGTGCAGCAGAAATCTCAGACTCGCAGTATGTCACAGAATCAGTTGGTCATCCGTGAGAAATTCTTTTTATTTCATACAAGATAGCTGGAAGATTTCGAAAAAAAAACTTGCGAAAAAACAAGAGTTTGCTTAGTTTTCTTTGGAAAGCACATTTTTAGTTACTTACAGGAATAGCTGGGATGCCTCTATGGATTGCATGTCTTGTAGTGTGGTGTATTTCACTTGTACTAATAACTATTGGAATATGGATGAATAAAGTAATACTCTTCGTGCCTGCTTATGCTGTCTGGGTAAGTCATTTATGTATTAACGCAAGTTTTGGAATTACTTGCTCGTATGGGGTTTTGGAAAAGTGCAAATGATCTCTTCTACATTTCGCAAAAACAAGTCCATTGAATCCAAGTGTGGAAGGGTTCTCAACGCTAAGAACAAAGCTTTCAGGTAGCAACATTTATCTTGTCTGTTCTTTTCATAGCCATAGACATCTATGCGGATCTGTTCTGTGGCAAGCCATCAGGAAATAAAACAAGTAATTTATTATTGGAGAGAGCTTCAAGAGTGTGTCTACGCCTGAACGGTTTTTTTATAGGTCACTGGAGTTCACCGTGTGATACGCTCATCAGACGTAAGGGTGTAAGTGCCTTTTTCGATTTCGTAAATGTCATCTATTGGGCCGCGTTCGTGGCTTGCGACCATGAACAAATGCAGAAATGACGAAAAGCATCAGGTACGTATCGATTTGAAGAAATGCAGGAATGCGGAATCTGCAGATATGCAGAATTGACGAATTGCGAAGAATCAATCTAATCTTTTTCGTGGTTTCTGCAGGTTCCGAATTTCTGCACTTCTTCATTTCTGCTTCTGCAGATCCCGGACTTCTGCACTTCTTCACTTCTGCATTCTTTCAAATCGATACGTATCTAATGCTTTTCGTCATTTCAGCAGATTCCGCACTTCCCCATTTGCATTTCTGCATTTCTTCGCGGTCGCAAGCTATGAACGCGGCCTTAGACTGGAATGGTCATTTTGTAAGTAAATCAATGTACCTACTTGCAAGCAGATATGAGCCCTAACCTTGAGGAAGGCGATATTCCGGGGAATCGGTCAAACTCTCCTGTACTTATTACAATATTCCTTGGCTGGACAATAGTATTCACCATAGAGCTAGTTTGAGCCAGAGCTTATACTTTTCGTGGAGAAGAGTAAACCCGTGGTAACTAAAGATGTCATACTGAACATAGCTAACAGCACGAACTTTGATGTTTTCCCCTGTAGAGGTTAACAATCTTTTAAAGATAAAGATAGATACATATCGAGTAGCATTCTTGGAGGCACTACTTCTACCTCCGAAAAGGTTAGCTGTGCTGTTCGAATACTGAGTACAAGGAGACAAATTATATTAGGGAAGATACTAAAAAAATTAGCCAAAATGCCCGATATGCAGCACGTAAAAAAGTGGACACCTCAAACGTCGACTCTACAGGAAAACCATTGATTTTGACGAAACGCCATCCACTATCAACCACTATCCAATTCATCGTGTACGGAAACCCCAATGCATGGGAAAGATTGAAGAACCTTAGCTTGAGCGTCTTCCTTTAGGTACTGCAGATATATAGATGATTGCTTCATCGTAACATCAACGCAGTCTGAGATGGACGAATGTTTTCGGTTGGTGAATGAACAGTACCCAGTACACTGAGCTCACTCGTGACACCCCACAAGATGGTTGACTACCCTGCCTCAGTACGCAGGTCAGGTTATCCAGTGGCATCACCCGTGTAAAATGATACAGCAAAAGCAGTTCCAAGAACATTTTGATTGCATGTCTTACATCGGCTCATCCAACGGCTGTAAAACATCATCAAAACATTATCAGCAACATGTTCAAAACAGCTGCATGGATGTGCACAGGAGACGTTGAGTGGCACGAATCATGGCGACTGCTCAAATAGCCGCGGCAAACGGCTCTGCGGAAGTAAGCCTACAAAAACGGCATATCGCTCCAAAAGAGGTGCCGCGGCAAAATAGGTTACCCACATGCCTTCCCTTAAACTCTGGCAGAGTGAGTGCTGCCATTCAAAGTAGCATTAGAAGAGCGCAGTTGCACGCATGCATATTCGCAGTTAGTGAATATCCCTAACGGAAGCATAAAACAACAAGTGGTTCAAAATCGGCTCTATGCAGTGTATGTCAGAAGGTTGTGCTATCTACCCCATGGCAGGGCAGGAGACTGTGCCTATAAGGGCGCAATTTATCAGACCGGATGTCAAGCATGTAACGCAACCTATATTGGGGCGACTGAAGGGTCCTAGCCGCTCAATCAAGGAACATCTGGCTGGGATAGACGCAGCACTTCTTCAACTGTTCTTGGGAGGCATAAGCTGTAGGAACACAATGGCGCTGATTTTGAAATAAGGTGCACAGTGTTGGCGCATGGGACAGGAATTTATGCGAGAAAGCTCTAGAAGCGTTTTAGACTTAGACAAGGAATCCATCTATGAACAACCGGTATGAGCGCCTTTCGATAACTAGCGAAGTGTCACCGGTTATTCCGCACTGCGAGCTGTAGAGCATCAAAGACCGTGACGTGCTCTCTCACAGCTAATATCAGGAGACAGTACAGTGCGCAATTCTCGTCATCTACTAACGCTTCAAAGTGGTAGCGGATGTAAAACTCTGGATGAGTTTGTTCCCTGTATTGCTTGGATTTCTCCTAGAGATCCGCCACAGAATGTCGGAACCGCTGAGGAAGATGAAGCGCTTGGTGGTGCAGGGCATGAATCTGAATTTCGAATCACTTTTAGGCCTCCGAAGACTACGACTCAGTCAAAACGATAGGCCGATTTGATAAATGTCCCACCTACCAACCTTGAGGCACCAGAATGCTCTGCTTCACAGCATCTCGTAGGCTACTTTCCATTTTTTTATGAATGAAAAAAGTTTCTTCACATCAAAAGTATGTGGACTCTTAAGAAAAGATTAAAATATTTCCGAGATTAGAGGTGCCATCATTTGAACCTGCTACGCTGGTGAGTGTCCCAGGCTGCTTCGTACATAGCGTGGCAAGCAGCAAATGTTGGCGCCTTGAGGTAATTCACCTCATTGCATTACAGGCTGTTATGAAAGACACTCTGAACCGTAATCCAATTGTCGTGATACAAGACTGTGGCCTTGGGCGCACAGTGTGCTCTGACTCTGTCGAGCTCTAAGGCCAATCACGCGCTGCACCCGCCAACAATCAGGGCTTGTAGTAGCGGTGGGGGGGGGACATGCCACATTGTGCCACGCCTCTAGCCGCCACTATAAAAGCGGGGAGGCTCGGCGTGAGCTCTCTCGGCATTTCTCTCCTGCTGGGGAAAGAGAACGTGCCTGGTATACGTGGAGTGAGCCTCGCGCGAATGATCAGCCTTGCGTGCGAAGGCTGATCACTCGCGCGGCCAGGATGGTAGCAGCCGTCCTGGCCGACAGAGTGCCACTTACCGCTGTTGCCGCTAACGTCACCAATCAATGGTGGGATCGATACTGCTTGTTCTACAAAGGCAGATGTAGGAGTAGGATGGATTGGTGTCGTCATATTCGCGCAATAAATGTGAGTGTTTTTACTCTACGTTGCAGTTTGAGGGGCAGATAAGAGCAGCGCCAGGGCAGGGGTTCGACTAAGACGCTGTAGGCTTTGGGATTATGCTGTGTTCTTGTGTGTGCGCGCTGACGGCCAGGGAAGGGAATTCCTGGGCTAACTGGGTCTTACCGTTACCGCCGATCCCCCACACCGCCGGGATTAAAGACCCTGTGAAACCCTCGGGGATTGGCGACTATACGGGGAGCCACCAGTACGGTCCTCTAAGAGGACAAATAGGATACGTAATCTCTAGAGAAATGGGCTCACGAGGGCTCTGAATCACCTGGGATGCGTCTTGTTAGAGGGGTCAGGAGGGGCGACTGCCTCCGTACCATGGCACCCCTGACGTTTTCATAATGCTAAGAGTTCTTAGAACTATGCAGACTCTTTATTTGCTTAGAACAACGTAGGAACAGATTGAGCAGTCTCAGACAATTCTTGATATGTTGGTCGAGAAAACGCTTCAAAAGGTTTGGTGACCGCAAAAATGACCATTTTGGCCGCTCTCCGGTCAAATGAGTGTGCTTCATGAACTGATGTGAGGAGTGCTTCCATATTATTTCCTCAGGACTAGATAGCAAAATTAAAGTTTGTCCATGAAAATACTGCAACATCATCACATAAGCTGGAGTCCGGGAGGAGGGGTTTTCTAAGTTGAAGGCGGACAACATCCCATGAACATTTCCTACTAGATAATTTTGATGGGTAACAAAAAGTTCATTGTAACCTGCTGTATTAGGGTTCGTTACTTCAAGGCGGCAATATTTGCATGCTATAGGCGAGACAACCATGAGAAACTTCGTTCAAAGAGATACCGAATAAAATGATCGAAGTCGCACAAAACTATATAGGAACTACCACACTCCAATCTCGAAGATATTTCTATGTTTTTTATGTGTCCATGCCTTTGGTACAAAGAGATATACCTTTGGTACAAAGAGATTTTCTTGAACAATAAAAAAAATAAAACGTTACGCGAGATGCTGCGAAGTAAAATACAGAAGGTAACACCTTGCAAAAATCAAAGGTATAGATATCAGCTCCTTTCCCTTATCACATCATTCTAAGAATTTGTCACTTCGCTCTCAGAATTCGTAGTGATGAGACTTAGCAGCGAAAAGGGGCAGCCGTGACGCCATGATGCATTCAGAAGCGAACATTATGTGTGGTTCGGGGCGGTGGGTGAAGCACTGCCTCCAAGTCGAGATTTCCGCACGCCTTTCCAAGCCGCAAACGTGGTACACCTTCTGTGCTTGCAGACAGGACTGCCTTTTCTAAAACGTTGAAATAATGCGCTGCGCACCCTCAATTGCACGACCGGTAAATCTTGGAGATTCCTTTAAAGGAGTTCACTCGCTCAAAATTTCTCTTTCGTCCCTTCCTCCTACTCTTATGCTTCCGTTTCTTTTTTCCTACATAGTGAATCCGAACCTTCTCAAAGTAACTAACTCTCCGAATACACCAATGCATCATGTGACCGCTATCCACCTTTCAACTCGAGCGGTGGATCAAACGGAGATAATATCGACCTTTTTGTGTTATTCTATCACATGTGTCACCACTACCATGAAGGCAGTTCCCTCGCCCAAACAAACCGTCAGGCGTCTTTCTTGTACCTTTCTTGTCTGGCCCTCAGTCTTCAGCATTATCTCAGCCACATCATCACAGACACTCGCGGCAGACAGTAGGTAAGTTTGGTGGGCGGAGCAACTAAGGGGGCGCTGCGCCTCTCGTTAGTGGCAACTATTAAGCCTCCTTCTGCTCCACCTACCGAAACTTAGAGGTTGTTTCCTGTCACGAGTTCGAATTTTACACCGCGTTTTTCGCTTTCCCCTCATTGTTAGATTTTCTAAGCCTTGGATGACGCTAACTGTAAGAAACAGTTAGTCAGCTAGAGGCGGCAGGATACCGCCTTGCTGACGAAAAACGAGGACTTGAAAACTCGTATGATGGACCTGCTATGGGCATCGGCTAAAATAACCAGGTCGTACCGCGTGCTCAAGAGATGAGC